CCTATTTTCAGATTATGACGTAACACCTCCAATGACACCCTACACCCCTCCATCCCGATGATGTCACTATCCTATATTTAGATTACGATGTCATCATTTTTGATGACGTCAACCTCTGGGATATTGTGACGTCACTGTGTCCCAGTGTCCCTGTCGCAGAACTGTCTGTTGTATACTACTCTTGACTTTAAAAAAAAAAAGTTGAAATTATTGAAAAAGAAATGATGTGCGCGCGTGCACAACTTTAATTTTAAAAGACAATTCAATCCGAGCGATCTTTTTAAGGCGCAAAATTTAATAATACGTCGAGAAGTAATTGGAAACCGTTATCTGAAGTAAATTTTAGTAAGAATTCTACTAAAACAATTAGATTATTCGCTCTCAATTTCTATGAGGTGGTAGTTGATTCGGCCTTCGGCCTCATCAACTATCCATCACCTCTCATAGAAATCTCGTGCTCATAACCTAATTGTTAAATGGAAACACCAGTGGAAGTTTGGGAGAACGAGAAATGCTGTAGGAACACTAGCCGTGGGCGAGTGTTTTCACAGCTTTTTCGAGTTCTCCCACACTTTCACGAGTAATCGCGCCTGCATGTGGAAAACTGTTTCAAGGCAAATCTAACTATTAAACATTTTTTTTTTTGCAATTCCAATTATGGTCAAACAATATCATAAAAAAGGATAAGTGAGAGGAAAAAAATTGATTCGAACTTGACTCAGGCTCCTTGCAACTTGATTATGACAACTGTGAGGAGAGAAAATTAGATAATTAAGTGTGTTTTACATATTCGCTTTCGTTATCAGAAAATATAGAAAACCAACACAGATATATTTGTTTTAGTTCGTTTTGCATTTCTAAGTTAAAGAACTGTTCCATTTCATTAACCGTAACAAACACCTGCTATTTTGTGTACGATCATAACTGTAATAAGCGTTGAACTGTAATTACTACCTGCAATAGTCTTTTGTTAAACTGTTATCTACCTGTATTGTTTTGAAAGTTATTAATGTTGTAAACGATGAGTTCCGTTATAGCCAATCGAGCCTTCTGAAATGCAGGAGATAATGTTTAGTTATGACTTTTTAATAGCTTTACGTAACATGTCCTTTAGAATTGTGTTTTCGGCTTAAATAATCGTGCCTTATAAAACATTCTTTGGTTACATTCTGGTTGCATTCCGGTTATGTTCCGGTTGCATTCTGGTTGTGTTCTTGGATTAAAACGATTTCGTTGGACCTAAGTTCTGAGTGCTGTTGATGTCTCTGAAGATAATTCCCTGTAACAGATTCCGGTACTGATCCCCGCAGCAAGAGAGTTTCCCCAGGTTTTTACAGAAGTACTTTTCCAGGACAAAAAACCTATTATCACACAACTTGACTATGACTCTAACGTCGAAACATCATCGTTTTTAACATAAGTTTCACATTTTATCGGCCATTTCATCTGTGTGACAAAACAGAACTTGTTAACGGTTCCTTAGGCTGCACTTTTAAAAAATTCGTTTCAGAACATGGCGGAGCGCAAAACTGAAGATGACACGTCGGCAGAACAAGTTAGCAAGGAGTTATCCCTGAGCGGCAAAAACAGATTTGTTCCAATGGAAGAAAGGCGAGACACCTCTGTGCTACCGGTTGACGTTATTAAGAACATATGGGATGGTAAGACATGTGTGATAGTTAACTCCAACTTAAACGACTGAGCAGAAGCAAGCGGGGCCAGTGCTTCATTTGTTGCATGAGAATTTAAGGAAAACAACGTATAGAAAGTAGACCGTTCCTATATATCGAAGGCCTATGAGCTTAGAGTTGCCCGCAAATATTTAACAAACATTAGCCCAACAACTAAGTTTGAAAGCTTATATGTAGTAATATTACGATGTCAAGTATCATCCCATAGACTATCTTGTCTTCAGTTGTTGGCCACTAGACTTTTCCCGTAGTGGCATGTAACGACATGGAAATTTCTTTCTTTTTTTTTTTCAGAGAAAGAAGGCAAAGAGCACAGACCCTGATTAATTTCATTTATTATTTATTTCTTAAGGAAAATGTCTGACGTTATGGCGTGGCGTGCCAATCGTAAAAGATCCCTTATCTCTGACAGTAAACTAGCAGTTACTATGGGAAGTCAAACCTCAAACAGTAATTGAGTTTGGCGCCTACAAGGGAGGCTCAGCTCTGTGGACAGCGGACATGTTAAAAATGTTTGGGTGCAAGTCGCGTGTGATATCCATCGACATCGACCTTTCTTTGCTGGACCCTTTGGCTCGAGAGTCCCCGGATGTGGAGTTTATTGAGGGAGACTTGTTTCAAGTAGAAAAATGTTTTCCAGCAGACTTTCTGAAGGTAAATTAGTAACCGCTGAGTTGATATCTACTTGAACTCTTCTAA